ATCCTTATTAGGCTGGGGATATAGAGTTTTGCCTACTAAGGCAAGCCAACAACAACACCTGTACTTATTTCCCAGTCCAAGCTGTCATGCTGGTAATGATAAAGAATCACTTTTCCTACACTTCTGAAAGGACATCCTTGTTTACCTTTCCCTGCCGTGGTTTGCTCTAAGGTAAGTTGTTTTCTAAATTGCTTTCCCCAGGTAAAAACATTGACTGCGGATGAAGGGCTATGTTTAGATTGGTGATGGGAGAGTAAAGAAGAGTTAAGCCATTTTGGGTCATGCCACATGCAGGGGAGCCCCCTCGAGATGGGGCAAGAAGGGATGCACAGCTGCAGCCAATGATGCTAGTTACCAGAATGGTGTCCTGCTTTAATGTGGATGTGGAAGGGCAACAACATCCATAGGGTTGGTCCTGCAAAGGCTGTGTATTTTGTAGTGCAGATAACAAAACAGAGCGCTCCTTGCTTTAAATTCTGTTTTGGGAGAAAGCCCCCTGCAAAGTTAGAAGGACTCTGCATGAATTTTTCTGGCCCCAACAATTTCAAATCATTGCAACTGATGCTTTAAGACAACTATAGCAGTATGAAATCTCTCTCTGAAGCCTCTTGGAGCAACTTATTTGCCCCAAAACTTCAGAACTTTGTGTGCTTATATCACTCTGTGTGCCCACAGAGGTAGTGTTTTTTCTGTTCTCTTGCACTATGATAAACATCTGGGCCATAAAACACGTTTGATTTTTTTAACTCCTGTGGCACATCTGGTCCATGGAGGAGCAGGGCTGAAGGAGACAGCTCAGAAATGTAGGTTCGAGACTGCAAACATGCTGCTTGTGGTTGGATGTGATCCTGGAGGAAGATGAGAAGTTTTACAGCCTGGATGTTGCTTTAGCATACTGTGTGGGCAAGCAAGCAATCTAGAAAGAAAGTCCTAACTGCAGCTGCCATGGTAGCTGTCAGTCTGCAGCTGATGAAAAGAATCCTGCATGTCCTACACGCAGGGACAGTACCAGAGGACAAATTGTTAGGGGACGTCTTTTGCCACAGACAGCTGAGGAGGCTTTTGTGTTATCCTGGATCTTGCCTGCCAAGGCAAATCCCATGATTGGAGACCATTGTACATTCAGGTCAGGAACATTTTCTATGGAGTCTTGGCAGTACTTTGAAGTATTTCCGGGTATCACTGTAGCACAGCTTGCAAAATGAGCCCGTTCCTCCATGGAAGGGTAGCTATCGTGGCTTTACTGATGCTCCCATCCTTCTCTGGCACCTTCCTATTTCCTTTTCCTGCTCCCCTCTGGGATGCATGTCCCCTTGCTCCTTCTACTCCATCAGCTCAGGAACTACTTGCCTGCTGGTGAGTTTGCTCCAGACAGCACTCTCTTTCCTGTTAAAGTGGACTATTCTAGCAACTCTGCAGGGCTCACAGCACGAATGGTGATGATAAAGGGTAGGTGACATCAGATACATACAGTCCTTGCTGCCTCATATTAAACTGTGGCACATATACCTGAGTGCTGGCATGCAACCAGGAGAGATGACATTTGGGCAAGATGACCCAGAGCAGGAAGGGCGCCTGGGCCAGGCCAACGTGAAACAATGCGGCATGGGATAGCGGGAGGACTGCCAGCAGCAGAGCCGGCGGGAAGGCTCCCGTATGAACCTGAAAGCAAACAAACTTGCTGCCAAGTAGCACTACTCCTGCTCCAAGGAGGATCACTTATTGCAGTTTGAATTATTAGCTCATTTGTTGTAGTAAAAGACTGTGTGGACGCAAGGCGCTGTGAGGAGACCAAACTAAAATTACATCTGTGTGCAAAAAAAGGTCTGGGAGTATATTTATATCCCTGCTTTGCTATGGGACTGTTATTCAAAGCACAATATAAATCACTATGTAAAAATCAAAATACTTTTGGTCTCTGCAATGTACCTGACATCAAAGCACAGGTTCAATAAGTTAAGCAGAATTGCTAATACTTGATGCTCAAGCAGATCTTCTGTGGGATCTAATTTATACTGCTCTTAACGTATGGGGCATTTGCTTTGGCAAATGAACTTAGAAATGTTTGATGCTTTCCCAGCACACAACCAAAGTACTGACTCAGTAAATCACTAAAACAAAATCACTGGTTTGGGGGAAGCTTCCCTTCTTTCTCCATTTGCTGCACCTTCCCCACATAATGAAAAAATTAAGTGGAATAATTTACTTTAAAACCTGGACATTTTCTTCTGCGTCATCTGACCAATTTAAAGTAGCTATACAAAACACAAATCTAAAATCCTGCATTGTAGGGTAGGGAGTCTTTATAATGAGAAGCACCCTTTGCATGTGTGACTGAGACTTGAGACTGTCCCCAAGCCATGGACTTCTTGGAATCTGGGGCCTCTTTGGTTTTCTTTCAGGCTTGAAAAACATACACTGGGGACTCTAGCATATATGCATAAATCTTGTCAGTTAAATATAGATTAATGGGAATCAGCAGGGAGTAAAAACACTCCACTTTTTATGGTAAACGCCATAAAACATGGTAAATACTTAACTTCAGTTTTATAGCAAAAACTGAGTCCTGCCATCCCCATCCAGCACTCCGTTTCCTCTTTTTTAGGCATTTGGCTTTCTTTGCCGCTTAAATTTTATTCCTAGTACTAATAC